AAAAAAAAAAAAAAAAAAGGAAGATAAAAACAAAGCAAAACAAAGGAAAAAACAAGGAAAAAGCACAATATAATGACAAAGTAAAGTAGAAAGAGGGAAAAATAGAGTAAAAACTATATTACAAATAAAAGCATAAAAAGAAAAGAAAAAATAAATAAAAATTAAAAGAATAATAAAAAACAATAGAACAAAGTGAAAAAATTAATATTAATATTTTCCTGTGGCCTCACCTGTCAGTGTCCTTGCTCCCACAGTGAAGCGCAGCCAATCCCTGCCTGCCTGGGAAGTCCTCCAGTACTTCTAGGTGGGTCTCTGGACCTGCTGTGGGCTCTGTAGGGCCAGCTCAGACTCTGACCTGGCCCAACTCTGGCGTGTACTTGCCTGCAAAGTCCACAGTTGCCCCCAAAGTCCACAGCCTCAATTGCAGGAACACTCATTGTCTATTCAGATATTCCACAGATGCAGGGTTTACCAAGCTGATTGCAGGGATTTAATCCTCTGCTCCTGTGGCTGCACAGAGAGATTTCCCTTTCTCTTCTTTGGTCCCACTGCCCCTGGAGTTCAACTTTGGTTTTGGTCCCGTCTGTGCATGTGGGCCACCCTCAGGCATCTGTTCCCCACCCAGGCAAGAGGGGGCAAAAGCAGCGGCTTGATTAGGGCTCACTTGCTCACTCAGGCTGGGGAGAGGGAGGGCTACAGCAGTCACAATTGTGACCACTTCTGCATCTTTTTTTTCATTTTGTTTTATTTATTTATTGGAGTATAGTTGTTTTACAATGTTGTGTTAGCTTCTACTGTACAATGAAGTGGAGTTCCCTGTGCTATATAGCAGGTTCTCATTAGTTTTCTATTTTCTACATATTAGTGTATATATGTCAATCCCAATCTCCCAATTCATCCCACCCCCACTTTCCCTGCTTGGTGTCCATACGTTTGCTCTCTACGTCTAAGTCTCTATTTCTGCCTTGCAAACTGGTTCATCTGTACCATTTTTGTAGATTCCACATATATGCGTTAATATACAGTATTTATTTTTCTCTTTCTGACTTACTTCACTCTGTATGCAGATGACATTTGCATGTTAATGGACCTGTTCTCCTAATAGCACTGGCTACTTTTCACCTTCTCTGCACATTGGAAGATATAAAAGGCATTGTCAAAAGACAAAGACCCTGCAGCCCCAGGCCAGCATGTTTGAAATAGGGGCAGAGTTAGTTAGTGATAAGATTTTCCCTTATTCTGTGAACTGCAAGGATATTATGTTCAAGGTGGTCTGTGAATTTTCTTTTTTTTTCTTTATTTTATTTTTTTTAACAAATCCTGACTTTATTTTTTAAAAAATTATTCTATTTATTTTTAAATTAAAAAAAATTTTTGGCTGCATTGGGTCTTCTTTGCTGTGCATGGGCTTTCTCTAGTTGCAGCAAGTGGGGGCTACTCTTCGTTGTGGTGTGTGGGCTTCTCACTGTGGTGGCTTCTCTTGTTGCAGAGCATGGGCTCTAGGCATGCGGGCTTCAGTAGTTGTGGCACACAGGCTTAGTTGCTCCACGGCATGTGGGATCTTCTCAGACCAAGGCTTGAACCCATGTCCCTTGCATTGGCAGGAGGATCCTTAGCCACCAGGGAAGTCCTGTGAATTTTCATTTTAAAAGGGACTTTATGTTGTCCTGGGTGCTACATCTTTCCTCACCAAAGCACCTTCCCTGCCTGTGTCATTCCAGATGTGTCACAATTTCTCATAAGGGGGGGCTCCCTTGAAATGCTGGCCATGTCGGACTCTCCAGGAGAAAAGGACAGTGAGTCACAGGTACGGGGAAATTCCCATTCCTTTTCTCCTTTGTGCTGCTGATTCTAGTTATTGTGTTCCTGAGTTTTTTTTTTTAGCTTCCAGATAAACTAATAAGGGACAGAAACTTATTGAAAATGTTGAGAACTGTAGAAAAAAATTCACAAAAGCACAAGTTTAAAATGTGACTTTTAAACTTTGAATTTTGAAAAGGTTTCCCATGTGTTAAATTTCTATTTTAAAAGCAAAGACGTTGGAATAGTTGGAGGGTAGAGGGGTGGGGAGCCTCCAACCTGATCCTTTTAGCAGCTGCATCAGCCTAAATGGGAGAGGGCTTTGGGAGAAGAGTCAGCAGGACTAGAAAAAGCAAAGTCTTCTTTTAGCTTGGCATTTCAAAACAGTTTCTCCTTTGTGATTAGGGGTAAGCAGCACATGCTAACGATCTAGTTGTCTCTATGATCTCATCTCAATGAGCTGGCCCAAGAATTGCCTTTCTAGATATCACTTCTGTTTCTGTAACTTTCAGCAATTTACCACATTGTGACTCAGCAGCCCATTCACTCTTCCTTGTGGTGGGAAACAGAGGAAACCCTGTATGCCTAATGTCTAGTGGGAGACTTGAAATTAAGCTTAGGAGAGACCCTTTGTTAGTGGACCCCTGAGCAAATTACCAGACCTCTCTCAGTCTGAACATCAAGGGTTAACTGAAGTCACGTGGCACTTTGTAAACAGTAAAAGCACTCTGCATGCTTTTATCCCCACCCGTCAGCTAATGACACTGAGTGCAAGAGAGATTCGTTAACTTGTCCAAAGTCTTAAGGTTATTAAGTAGTAGAGCCAGGAATTTGGCCCCCTAGTCTGGGGCCCTTTTCTCCACCTTGAGGAACTGCATGGATTTCCCAATAAATGCTAAATATCTCAGCACTGAAACAACCCCAGGGAAGTCAGGAGGTCACAGGGTCACCTCTGATTGATACTGTCAAGTAGTAGAGTCTGGATACTGTAACCTGTAGCACAGCCAAGACCTGCCTGCCCAGCACATCTGTCTCCTCTAGTCACTGTGGTCCTGAGATCCAGATTAAGCCATCAGCTTGAAAAATCCTGGGACCATGCTATGCTGTGTGATGGGCAGGCCCTCACCTGTTAGCCCAGAAGCATGGATGAGTTGAGCAGAGAGCTGAGGGAATCACAAGGTCTCAAAGGGGCAGCCCAAAGACAGCACCAAGACAGTCATTCATCCAGGAACTCCTGATTGAGCTCTCACAAATTAATAATAATCCTAGTCCCTGGCACAGATGTTTACTGCCTTGAGCAGAAATGAGAATAAATAATACCAATACAATGTGGTGACAACACTATTAATATAAGTGCAAATGCTCAGGACGCCCAAGTATTGGGACACTGACTTTCCACACTAACTGTGGGGAAGAAGTCTGCGATCCTTGTCGGGGGATGAGTGGAAACTAGCTCCTTAGGGGAGCAGTGCCAAGTTGGGGTGGGGCTATGGAAAGTGCACTTGCATCCCAGTTTGGCTTAGGTGATGCCTAACCTCTTTCTAGGGAGTTGTTTGTTCACGTCTCAAGTGTTTGATCCACAGAGTCAGCTCCTGGGTTGGATTTTTGTTTTCCAGACATCGAACACAGTTTACCGAATGAAAAGCAAACCTCGGGGATACTGTTTGATCTTTAACAATTATGATTTTAGCATAGCAAGGAAGGATGTGCCCAAACTTCACAGCATTAAGGATAGGAATGGAACAGACTTGGATGCAGGTACAGTAGAGCCCAAAAGAGAAATGAAATATTTCTGATATCTATGTTTTTGTCAAAAGGGGAGAACAAAAGCTGTATCAACAGGGCCACGTGTTTCAAAAAGATGGATATAACCGTATTTCCCTGTGGAGGTGAACAACATTCTTACATACTTGTTAGTTTTCTGCTTCTGTTTTTTTAAAATTAATTTTAAAAATCAAAGCAATGTATATATAAAGATAAAATATCAAATCTTACTAAAAGGCTTATAAAAAGCAACAATAAACTTTGTTTTTAATTCCACTAGATGAATAGAGCCTCTATAGAGTGTATTAGGTGTTGGGTGGAAAACATTGCTTTGGTATCAAGACCATTTACGGAAGTTGTGTTTATAAAAGTTGGGCTATGAGTACAGCAGAAATTGAGTCCTTAACAGAAATAGCATTTTCAAATGTTAAACTAAACAGAAAGTCTTTGGCTCAGCCTTTTTCGGCTAAGATTGAGAGCTTACAAGTTAAATGAAAAATAATTTGTATCATGTGAACATAGAAATGGCTACAACTAAAAGCAATAAAAGAAAGAATTCAACCCAACCATTGTGATATTAAGAATTTTTACTTGATCAAAGAATTTTTGAAAATGGTGTTTATGAGTCATAACATCAGGTAATTACTTATTTTTTAAATAAAGTAGTTTAGAAAATAAGATAGGTTGATTTTAATCGTCAGGACTCTGTGAATGGTTTCTGTTAACATTTGTTTATTCAAGCAAATCTATTCTAAGGTTTTAAAAAGCCACAGAACTTAAGTTCACTGACTACATCACTCATCATCGTATATCTTGGTATTGAAGAAAAGGTTTCAGGCTTTCGATTTTCATTTACTTAATATTTACCATGAAAACATTTTTTATTAAAATGGCCTTGATTGTATTTCTGATCAAGGGTATAAAGTAGCAGTATGTAGGATGAATAAGTTTAGCAATCTACTGTACAGCATGATGGCAATAGTTGATAATGCTGTATTGAACATGAGAAGTATGCAAAGAGACTATATTCCAGGTGTTCTCCACACACACACACACACACACACACACACACACACGCAAACAAAAGGTAACTGAGTGAGGAGATAAATTATTAGCTTAACTGTAGTAATCATTTCACTATTCATATCATCATGTTGTACACCTTAAATATATGCTATTTTTATCTAAAATAATCAGACAGGCAGCCTGAAAAATGTTGAAAGACTTTGACTAGATCAATTAGAGCATTTGGGGAAAACTAATGTTAAGCATGTAGAAAACAAAGCAGTGAAAAAATAATGCTATTGCTAATTCCAGGAAAGACAAAAAGCTTAATAAGAAAGGAAGCATAATTAAAGAATATTATATTTACATAGTATTAGCAATACATATATTTCTATTGCTTCAACTAAACGTTGTAAATGTATAAGAGCACCAAGCACTCATCACCCACAATAGGAACTCAATACAAAAGTCTAAAATTTATAAACGAATAAATAGAAATGAGCCCAAATTCATTACAAAATGGAGGCTAATACCAAAAAAAAAAATAATAGCTGAAAGTTGAAAGTGGCTTCCTTCATAGAAATGGCTGGACAGAACATGACTGGGTAAAAGGAAGGAGTAGAGGGGGGTAGCTTTTTTGTAATAAGTCTTTTAGTTCTACTTGACTTTTAAAACATTCATATCTCGTATTTTGATGAACAATTTTGAGAAGGTTCAGGATAAAATAAGTATGGATCTTTTATTAAAAATTTGTTTTTGCTTTTTTTCTGATTATGTAAGTATTAGTTACTTTTTAGATTGGTTAGGCAGTAAGCCTAAATAATAGCTTGTAGGCTAGTTGAGAAAAGACAACAGGCCAACAATAGCAGTCTCCCCTTTCTCTTTTGCCTCAGGGCTGGGAAATATTTTCAGCTAGTGGCAGTAAACATTAGAAGTCTATGGAATCCAGCCACTAATATAGAGGGTCTTGTTTTTCAGTTCTGGTTCAGATTCTTATCTGATCAATGTTCTCTCTAGTCCTGGGTTGTGGTCTGGGAATTCTTGCGGTGTAATATGACTTTTCTTGTTTCACTTTTCAGAGGCTTTGAGAAAGACCTTTAGTGAGCTTCATTTTGAGATAGTGCATTACAAAGACTACACTGCGAAGAAAATCTGTGAGGTTCTGAAATCCTACCAAAGCATGGACCACAATAACAAGGACTGCTTCATCTGCTGCATCCTCTCCCATGGAGACAAAGGCATCATCTATGGCTCCGATGGGCAGGAAGCCCCCATCTATGAGCTGACCTCTTACTTCACTGGTTCAAAGTGCCCTTCCCTTCTTGGCAAACCCAAAATCTTTTTTATTCAGGCTTGTCAAGGGGATAACTACCAGAGAGGTATAGCTGTTGAAACTGACTCAGAACAGAAGGAAACCTATTTAGAAATTGATTCATCGCTTCAGAAGAGATATATCCCAGATGAGGCTGACTTTCTGCTGGGGATGGCCACCGTGAACAACTGTGTTTCCTACCGAAGCACCATGGAGGGGACCTGGTATATCCAGTCACTTTGCCAGAGCCTGAGAGAAAGATGTCCTAGGTAATTTTTGCTTATTCAACACTTCATTCATCTTTAAATGTCTAGCTGTGGATCATATAACTGTAATTCTCAGGTCAGTTGCAGAGTGGGAAAGAGGGCAAGTTTACTGATGGAAAAAACTGAAATACTTACTGAGGAGTTTCTTTTATTTAGCACCTCAAAGGACAATCAGCATATCGTAGAGTGGGAAAGATGGCAAAGTCATATAGTTTATCTCTGTCTTTAGGCAGAAATATGACTGAACCCACTCAACTAGTTTGGAATTTCCATGTTTAACATCCTCCAACCCTGTCAAAAGTTCTATAATAGCTGACCAACCTCGGACCCTCTTGTGGGAGATAAGTGCTAAAGATCAGAAACTTTTTCTATTCCCACAAATTTGCTTTGAAGCCCACAAAATGTGGGAAAATAACTTTCCCTCATTTATTATCTTATGTTTCCTTTATTTAAATGATGGTTTTGTACGGCACAGTTCACCAAATGCACACACAACCAGCAGATAAATAGCAAGGAATCCTCTGTAGGTTGCTTCTAGTTCTGTGTCTCATTATGTTTTAAGTGTATGAAGAGCAAGAATTTCCCATGGCAGATAAAGGACTGAACCATAACACCCACACTACATTTTCATTTTGTAACTTAGACCACGAATCCTGCGAGGTTCCAAGGGGTTAGCTACAGAAGTGAATAAACAGGTTGCCCAACTAAACTGATAAGAGAAGCTGGTGAGAAAGCAGTGGGGTGGCTGCAGGAGACTTTCAATTTCCACTTGCCTAAAGTTTGATGCGGCCACAGATAAATCCACAGAAGCAATGCCAATTTGAGGCAGGGGATGTTGCGGGGGGGCGTTGAGGTGATTGGGGGTAAGTGACACATACATGGAGCAGAGTGAGGTGCAAATTGGTCAGGAGGCAAAGAAACCAAATCTGGTGTTGACAGTGAAGTTTGTGATGGTCATAAGATATTAAGCTCTGAGACAACTTCTTTACCTAGAAAGCTGTGGTAGGTCTTGGTTTAGCATCTTGTTATTTCAAATGCCTGTTGTTTTGAGGGAAATAACTATCACTAATCACAGCAGATAATAGGGTTTACCAGTTGATTTCTCCCCCCATAGATGGTCACAAGGTTATGTTATGTTTTTCAGGGGTGAAGATATTCTCACCATCCTCACCAAGGTGAACTTTGAAGTAAGCAATAAGGATGACAAGAAAAATATGGGCAAACAGATGCCACAACCTACTTTCACACTGAGGAAAAAACTCTTCTTTCCCCTTAATTGATGCTATTGTTTAGTTGTATAACTAAACAATAGTTAAAATGCTGCTATTTTAATCTTTCTTTCTTTCTTTTTTTTTTTTTTCTTGATAGCTGGAAGTCAAGAGAATGGGAATCAGGACAACATAATTTTCATGCAAATTCAATCTAAATCTCTGGCTTTGCAATAGCTAGACAGTCATAGCTGTAGGCGTGATTTTAATTGTGTTTTTAATTTGATGAGAAGGTTTAAAAATGAACTTATAGTAGATACAAAAATTATAGTAAGTTTAAAAGAAATGTCAAAGATCACTGAGGGGGATATTTGTGATCTGATCTGGCTAAAAAAAACCCCTCATGTGTTGAGGTTGAGGGTATAATGCTCCCACATCCAGCCTGATTGCTGATGGTGAGTGTGACAAACTATCCCAGAAACATGTGAGCTTCCTCTCCTGCGCCATGAGCTGACTTTGCTTTTCAGTGGTGAAAGACACCACCGTTTAGACTTAGATTTCAAAAACCTAAGCATGATTTTCCTTGTTTTTATTACTCATAAGTACAGTATTCCGCTCACTTTTAAGAGGAATGATGTTAATTGGATATTGGGCTTCCCTGGTGGCGCAGTGGTTGAGAATCTGCCTGCCAATGCAAGGGACACGGGTTCGAACCCTGGTCTGGGAAGATCCCAAATGCCGTGGAGCAACTAGGCCCATGAGCCACAACTACTGAGCCTGCGCGTCTGGAGCTTGTGCTCCACAACAAGAGAGGCCGCAACCATGAGAGGCCCACGCTCTGCAATGAAGAATGGCCCCTGCTTGCTGCAACTAGAGAAAGCCCTTGCACAGAAACGAAGACCCAACACAGCCAAAAATAAAGAAAGAAAGAAGAAAGAAAGAAAGAAGCTTTCATTTTAAAAAAAATTAATAAACAGAAACCTCAGTTAAATAGAGTAGGGAAACCAGAAGTTTATTTTGGATCTGTTGCTTATTATTTTGTCCATTCCCTCTGCTGAAGCAATCACCATGGTTTTTTGATACTCTTATCTTAAAATACAGCTCTTGGCTCATGTGACTTTTCCAGCAATAAAATTTATTATTCTTTATTCAATAAAATTTATTCAATAAAATGTATACTTAGCCCTGGGGCAGAGCTGGGCTTAAGTGTATTTGGGGGACAGGGGAACCTGCCAGCAGAGCCCCAGTACTAAACAGGGGGAAGGACGGGTGTAGGTCTTACACAAAGTTCTTCTTCAGCATCGTGGTGCTAGGGGTGGATAGGGAGGCAACCTCCCGGGCTCACAAGATAAGTCTGGACTACACTAAGAGCAGCTAGATTCCGGTCTTCCAAAACTGCTCGTAGCATCTTAGCATAGACTCTGGCAACATGGGATGAGCGTAGTACGAGTAGCTGGGAGTCTGGGTGATGACGTGGCTATGCTACACCAAGATTCCAGGTAAAGACTCAAACAGGAGCAGCTCCACACCCCATTCCCCAGCCTTGACTCCAGGGTCTTCATGCTACCTCCTGGGAGTCCAGGGTGGGAAGGGCTTTAAGGATGACCTTTCCCAGGGAGTATCTGCATTTATATGAGTGATTTGTGAATATCAGCTAAATCTGATCTAAATTGTGTTGGGCTAGGATGTGGAATAGGTTTATAGAGCCCCCAATTCTACCTCAACTAGTCCTCTAGGTCAGGGAGCAGTTTCCAGAGATTTCTCTCTCTCTTTACCATTTATGAAGAAGCTCAGTGGAGGTAGGAAAGTGTCCTATAGGGCACTATGTAGGATCCAGGCTCTGTGCTAAGTGTTGGAAATATTAAAAAAATACACAGCAGTATATGACTGTATCAAATCAACATGTTGTACACCTTATATCAATTGAAATATATCTCAATTGAAAAATATATCAAACATGGCTTCCTCTGGGGGGACGTGGGAGTATGGACTGTGTTGCCCCTCCCCCAACAAGTGAATATTTCAAACTAATTCAAGAGCTTTTTTTCTGGAACTTCGGGGTCACCTGCACCCAGAAAACAAGTCTGCAATCCTACAGATGTCCACAAGCTCGTTCCAGCACATGATTGCCAAACTTGCAATCAGTGAGTTCTGGAGGGTATGGTTGAGACCCTCAGGTGGCTAAACTACATAAAAGACTCTATCCTTGTTGCACTTTCTTGAAGACTCCAGGCACCTTTCCATTCAGGAGTCCAGCCATGCAGCCCACCCATCATCCTTCGTGACTTCAAGGCTGCCTTCCTCAAGTCGAGACCAAACTTAATGCTAGTTTCTTGGTGCATCTGTCATCAAAAAGTCTAAAATTTCTGTACTCACTTTGCTGTAACAGGATCTTTTCCCAATCCTTCTCCCATTCTGCCTTCTTCTTTGACCACTTCTCCTCCATTCCATCATAAATGCTGTCCTGTGGAGGTACAAAGGTACCATGAAGAAAAGCATCCTGAAAGGCTGCATCTTGGCCTGAGGCTCAGCCCTGAGCCCTTTGCAGCTTCCCTCACCTGGGACCCTTGCTGGGGACCCCATATGGTGACTGGTGGGAGTCAATTCCAGCCCAGTCACCCAAGAGCCTGCAGAACCCTAAAGATCAAAGAGAACTCTGCACGGCGTTTGCCCTGTTGGAACTGGGCTTCCTTTGAAGACAGGCAGTTGAGCATGTTGCAGATGCTTGTGTCAGCTCCCTCTGAACCATGAATCACTCATCAGTAGCACAGGGGGAAACAAGGGAAATGCCAAGTTGTTGTTTTTATTTATCAACTGTCATTGTTTGCCTGGGACTGAGTTGTTTCCTGGGACTCCAGACTGTCAGTGCTAAAACCCGGAAAGTCCCTGGCAAACCAGGACCAGTTGGTCACCATAGGATGGGGGGCTTGCTGGCCCAGCCCTTCCCCTGTCCACTTCCCCTCTCCCACTCTCTCATCCCCCTAGGATGAAATCATGCCCTAATTCTGGTTTCTTGGGGCTCCATCAAATTAGCTGGCTAAGTGGATGGGCTGTGTTCTGAGGTACCCCCTACTCTGCTTGCTAGAGTTAGTGCAGAGCGATACAGCCCTTTTGGGTGGCAATTTGGCCAAATGCATCAAAGACCTTACAAGTGTTTATCCTTTTTGACCCAGTACTTTACTAAGATCAAAGATGTTACAAAATACAAATATTAACAGTGGTTGTCTTGGGGTGGTGATAGTTCATTCTTTTCGTTGTTGCTGCTGTTGTTGCTGTTGTTTTAATTAATTAGTTTTATTCTTGGCTGCGTTGGGTCTTCGTTGCTGCGCGCGGGCTTTCTCTAGTTGCGGCGAGGGCAGGCTACTCTTCGTTGCGGTGCGCGGGCTTCTCATTGCGGTGGCTTCTCTTGTTGTGGAGCACAGGCTTTAGGCGTGTGGGCTTCAGTAGCTGTGGCACACGGGCTCAGTAGTTGTGGCTCGCGGGCTCTAGGGCGCCGGCTCAGTAGTTGTGGCACGTGGACTTAGTTGCTCTGCAGCATTTGGGATCTTCCCGGACCAGAGATCGAACCCGTCTCCCCTGCACTGACAGGCAGATTCTTAACCACTGCTCCACCAGGGAAGTCCCTGTTGTTGGTTTTTGAATTTCCATTTTTTAAAAAACAATGAGCAGGTATTACTTTTGTAATGACAAATGTATTTTTCAACGGGCTCCTTTAGGGTCTGGGTGACTGACATGTCCTGCATGGGTGCCATCACAGTCCGCAGGTTCCCTCTTCTCCTTGAGGGCCACTTAGGTTCAAGGAGCCTGGGAATTTCAGGAAATGATTTTCTGGGCAAGAGCTCTAGATTCATTTCAACGTCATCAACCAGGAATGAGCCTTGCTTCTCTTTCTCTCATAATCCACCAAGGAGCTCTGAATCTCACCTGATACATATGAAACATATTCTTCAGATACTTATATTCCTTTCCCATATCCTCTGGACAAAAGGAAAACAACAGGGTCATCATTATTCCTCTGAAATACATGTTTTCAAATTCAAATGAGAGCTCTCCTGCACACCGTCCGTACCTCAAACTCATCTTGTCGGTGGTGAAACCATGGTGTTGCCTTAGCAATCACTCTGGAAGTTTATTAGAAATTTAGATGGCCCGACCCCACTCTAAGCCTGCTGAGTTTCAGAGGCAAGGCTCAGTATCTGTCAATAATATGCTTCTCAGGTGATTCTGATGCACCCCAAGTATGAGGACTAATCCCTGGGGGCAAACCTACAACTGAAGGAAAAACAGAAGCAAAACCTTCTGTCTTTTAAAAATAACATTCCTAGTGTACCTTGGTTTTGAAAACAATACATGTTCTCTTTAGAGAACTGGAAAACCAGCAAGGTACAAATATCATCTTTTAAAAATGTAAGATAAAGGAAAATAAGGAGATTATAGAAATTCTTCTCCCTGTGGCGATTAGTCTATAAACTCAGAATTCTGAAGGGTACACACTTTGTCCTTCCCAAAGGCAGCATAAATAATGGGATAAGTGGCCCACACAACCCTTACAGGTTTTAAGGCCATACAAATCACAGTGTGCCTGTTAGAGTTTAATGAAACACTATCATTTTACAGGTGAGGAAACTTGTTGAATCGGAACAGTATTACGTTTGTAGACCTTTTAAATATACTTTAAACAGTGCTTTCACATTCTTATCACTCTGATAAAGGCAGGTATTCTTGTCCTTGATTCCCAGATGGGGAAACTAAGACTTAAGGAGATGAAGGGACTTGCTCAGACCCCAAAACTTGGCCACAGACCCTTCAAAGTTCTGGGGGTAGGGAGGACATTGCTTGACATGGTTTCCCTTTTTTCAGTTTCATTCTCAACCACTTGCTCTTCCTGGGCTTGAGAAGGAAACCTCGAAAGCCTAGCCAGAGTCCATCCATGGCCATGGGAGTTCCTCTGCCCTAGATCTGCAGGGTCAGCCTCTACCCCTTCATCAGGGTCATTCTCCCAGGTCCCAACCGTACCTAGTTTATCCTGGGCAGCCAACTTCTCTGCCTTCAAGGCTGCTTTGTAGTTTTTCTCCAGCTCACTGAGCTGTGCTATGTGAATCTCCTCGAGCTCCCTGTAGGACCCCAGGAGAAGGCCACAGTCATCCATGAAAAGTTCACCTGATCCCACCTCCCCTCCCTCACGCAGGCAGCTGGTGGGCAGGCTGTGGGGCCCTCACTTCCTGACACATTCTCCTGACATCCATCCAGAAAAGGGTGAGGAGATCCCTGTTTTCACCATCCACTATTTTGCATGGAGACATCAGGGGGCCATGGATGTCCCCCAGCAGCACAGTCTTTGCTTACAATCCTTTTGGGAAACTGTGGGCTGATTAACATGCAGGATAATTTTAGAGCCCAAGGTCTCTCCAGCCTCCATTCCAGGAGGCAGATGTCCGCAGTGTTCAAGAGGAGTGTTAAAATAGAAGGCCATATGGGACTTCCCTGGTGGTCCCGTGGTAAAGAATCCGCCTTCCAATGCAGGGGACGTAGGTTCAATCCCTGGCCGGGGAACTAAGATCCCACATGCCGCGGAGCAACTAAGCCCTCGTGGCTCAACTAGAGAGCCCGCGTGCCGCAAACTACAGAGCCCATGTGCTCAAGAGCCCACGTGCCACAACTAGAGAGAAGCCCGTGTGCCACAAGGAAGAGCCCGCATGCCTCAGTGAAGATCCCGTGCGCCGCAACTGAGAACCGACGCAGCCAAAAATAAAAAAAAATAATAATAAGTAAATAAAACAAATAAATATTAAAAAAATAAAATAAAAGGCTGTATGAGCTGTTGAGCCAAGAAAAGACACGGAGGAACCTTAAATGCATATGGGTAAGTGCAAGAAGTCACTGTGAAAGGGCTACAGGCTGTATGATTTCAACTATGTGACATTTTGGAAAATGCACAGCTACGGAGGCAGTCAAAAGATCAGTGGTTGCCAGGGGTTAGTGGGGAGAGAAGGATGAATAGGCAGAGCTCAGAGGATTCTTAGGACAATGAAATTATTCTGTATGATACTATAATGGCGGATACGTGTCACTAAATATTTGTCAAAACCCATAGCATGTACAGCATCAAGAGTGAATCCTAATGTAAACTGTGGACATTGGGGGAATAACAGTGTGTGTCAGTGTAGGCTTCATTGATTGTAACAAACGTCGCGTATTGGTGTGGGATGTCAGTGATGACACAAGGTTGTGCAGGTATGGGGCCCGGGGGTATGTGGGAATTCTCTCTACTTTATGCTCTTTTTTCCTGTGAACTTAAAACTGCTTTAAAAAATAAAGTCTAGGGGCTTCCCTGGTGGCGCAGTGGTTGAGAGTCTGCCTGCCGATGCAGGGGACACGGGTTCGTGCCCTGGTCCGGGAAGATCCCACATGCCGCAGAGCGGTTGGGCCCGTGAGCCATGGCCGCTGAGCCTGCGCGTCTGGAGCCTGTGCTCCGCAATGGGAGAGGCCACAACAGTGAGAGGCCCGCGTACTGCAAAAATAAAAAATAGTAAAAAAAAAATAAAGTCTATTAGTAAATAAGTCAATTAGTTAAAAAGATTTTTAAAAAGCAAGTTTGTGACACTTAGGAAGACTTCTCTCCAGCAGGACTACTGGGGCTGCTCTGGTGCCCAGCAGGAGGTGTGGAAGGGGATTCTGTGGGCTTTCTCACTCTCACAGACAACACACATCCTTTTTCTTCCCCTTGGTTTGTCTCTGCAGCTCTGGCTCCTGCCCTTCCCATACCTTCTTCCCATTTTGCCCAGACCTTGACCTAGTAGCCAGGGACAGTAGAGGTGAGAGGAAGAAGAGGAGAGGCGTGGGGAGAGACCAGGCTGGGAACAACAGTAGTTTACCATGAAAACCTCCTGGAGAACCAAAAAACGGCTCTTCTTGGCAATCAACTTAAAGGGAGATTATAATTGAAATGAAATTCGGATGAGAAATTACAAAGCCAGGAATAACCTTCTCCGGGCTGTATTTTAGTGACCTCAGATCAAACCATCCTGCTCTCCAAAGACATGTCTCTTATCTCCCCTACCCCTCGCCACCCAGTTCCATTTGGCCTTATCTGAAATCCCAGTGAACTGAAATCCTGCAAGGATGCAGGAGCCTTAGGACCTTCAGTACACAAGAGCTTGTGCCAGAAAGCATACCTCCTCTTGCTTTCAAAGTTCTTCTGCATCTCAGCACAGCGGAGATCCATTTCATTGGCGAGCTAGAAACGAGGCTGGCATTTACAAGACAGGATTGAGGACCCCACTCCCACTCCAACCTGCAACTTCTGAGAAGCCTTCCCATTCACGGGGTATGCCCCTCTCCCCAAGCCTCTCCCGTTGTGTTCGGCAGTGCCAGAGAGCACATTGTTACTGAGGGAACGGGACAATTCTTGCCTCGCTCTACATTGTCTGGTACGTAATCAGTTCACAAAGGGTGCATGGAAACCATCCCTTTCACTATTTTGTGGGCAGGTCTGGCCTCTTTGGCTGGACTGTAATCTCTTTATAAGATCATGGCCTTCGGATTTTTGGATACGTAATTCAATTGAGCAATCGTTGATTGTGCAAAGGGCTTGACCTGGAGGAGCCAAAGAGGCCTGAGACTCAGACCCTGCTTTGATGAACTTGAAACCAGTGTTAATAAGCCCTCATTGGCAGAATGGCTCTGTTTCCGGAGGCAGGAAGTGCTCAGTTCCAGGTGAACCTCCCTTCTAACACGCACATCGTGTCCTCTGGCCAGTGCCTCAGGAGGAATAGACACCGCCAGCCGAGACAAGGGCTCGGGGCCAGCACACCCCTCCTTCTGCACAGTCACACAACAATGTAGGGTGTTCACAGCTGGGAGAATTTTAAGAATCACAATCTGAGGTCCCTCGATGGAAATAATCTCTAAATATGTCTTCAGCAGGGCCAATGCTTCAGTGACTGAAAGTGTGCCTTTTGCCCAGTAACCCACCACAGATGAGGTGAGTGATCTCATGCAAATTATTTAACTTCCTGAGCCTCAATTTCCTTTCTGTAGGAAGGTGACCATGAACTTGGCAGGGTTTTCAGGAAGGTATAGGAATGAATCCTCAGAAGGGAAGGTCTCAGCCTGAGTCCTATGCTGGGTCACTACAGGATTGAGACACATCTGGTGTGTATCAGAGGGCGAGGGGCTGGCCTGCTGGGAAGTCACCCCTCACACGTGGGTTCGGTAACAGCAAGTGAGGCGGGTCCGGCGGGGGGGGGGGGGGGGGGGGGGGGGGGGGGGGGGGGTGGCAGGAGGGGATGGGCAGATGGGGAGGAGAGGGGAGGAGTTGGGAGGAGATCTAAGGATGGGTCTGATGTATCATTCCAGTCCAGGCCACCAGACACCTCTGCTTAGGGCGGAGAAGAAAAGTCCGTGATAAAATGAATGGTGAATTTTAAAGGGAGTGTTACCAGAATCCCCAGGGAACACGAAGAGTGCAAACGGAAATGAGCAGGTTCTGGAGAGTGGGCTTTGGCAGCTTCACCAGCAACAGGAAGTGGTACTGGAGGCTTCTGGGCAGCTTTTGAGTAAAACTGAAATCCTGGTCACGCTGATGCGGTTACCAAGAGCCTCAGCAAGGTCTGAAATTTAACTCACCGCACAGGCCACAGCCAGCCCTGCTGGAAATGGCTGGCACCCCCTAGTGTTGAAAGGATAGTGGCGTTGAACATGCCAGAAGCTCCCCAAGAACTCCCCGAAATTGAGTTAGGCCTAGAGGAGGGACTTGAGTTCTTGCGATTATGGATGAGGATGGAGCCAGGGCTGTTGCCTGGACAGCCTGGCTCCCAGGAGGAAGGTGCTTGGCCTTGCCTGGAACATAGCAGGTGATCTGAAACTACTGGCCTTTCCCTTTCCCAAAGAGATGTCTGTTAACTCAAGGGCCACTCACCAGTTTTTGGGCAGAACGATGGGCTCTGTTCATTTGCTCTATTATCGCTGTCAGCTCTGAGATCTGTTCTTCGAGGTCAGTAATGATAGCCGTCCTGCGGGACAAGTAATCCGTGATCCACGCAGCTTCCATGCCGTCCCAGCCAGGGCCCTCCCTGGGCATGGCTGGCTCTGGCCTGGTGAGAGCCAGGCCATGTTCTGCACCTGCTCCATCACCATGGGGGGTGGGGGATGGGGGTTAGGGGCAGAGGGTGGTTTGGAAGAAGGAATTTGGCAGTAGGGTGGCTGAGCCTCACATGGAGCCCTTTTGGGTAATCCGGCCAGAAGTGAGCAGGGGTGGTTTGGTGACCCACTGACTAGAAGGGAAAGAGGAGGATGCCCGAAATCTATTAGGATTTGACCTTGACTCGGTGAAGATACTTGAAATGGAGGAGGGAGAAATCCACAGGATTAGGAAATTAGGTGGGGGAATAGGATTGGTGCAGACAGTGACTCATAGACAAGGAATGGGCCGGAAACAGGACAAAGAGGGGATTTAAGAGTGTGGATTTCAGAGTAGATTTACAGATTTTTGTGTTTCTGAGTCTGGGGACTCCATGAAATCTGTAAGGTTACTCAGCTCTGTTTGGCTGAGCTGGAGTGAACAGTGTGGCAGGCAGTGCAGCCGAGATGAGGTCCTTGATTCCTGAGGGTGAGGAAAGAAGAGAGAGGATGTAGGAGGAGATGGGGAAGGAGGAGATATGAATGAGAGGTTTAGCAGGTAGCATGAAGAGGATGTGGGGACTGACTTTACATGGTCCCGGAGGACAGAGAGTGGGTGGGCCTTGAATGACAGAGGGGGTGTCAGCGTGCCCAGCGGGGATGGAATCAGACCAGAACCTTCCACGCTGCACCTCTCAGAGGCGTAAACTGAGTGGTATCTTTCGACTTAATGGAAAAGAGATGCAGGCTCTGGCCTCCCAGAAACCCTGACCTTACTCTCAGCTCTCACCCTTCAAGTTCAGACTATTTTCTGAACATTGCATCTACTCATTACCTCCAGAAACAGCTAGTCCCCTTTAGTGTGAGGGACACCCAGCCAATCATTCTCCAGATCAGCTGCCTGACTCGTCTGCCTGACTCAAACGGGCTCAGAGTAGAGAGGTGGGTGCGGAGAGGAGCCGGCGCCATGCTGAGGAGTGAAGGGACGCCGTGGACTGGGCGTCAAGTAAGGGGTTCGTCCTCGAGGCCAGGCCGGGGTGGGGCTGAGGAACAGGATGCGGGTCCAGGGACATTGCCTGGAAGTCCTGACTTTGTCCATGTTCTCTGATTCTGAATGCTTTTTCCTAGCAGACATCTCATCTCCCAAGGTGACGCAAATCTGCTCCCTATTCCGAACGAAGCAGTAGCCAGGTGACACGTTTATTATTTCCTGGGCCTCAAGGTGGAAGATAAGGTATCGTGCAGGCCTGGAGTGCTGAGATTGCTCCAGTCTTCTGCTAGCGCCCTACTCACATCTTAAACACAGACATGTGAGGTGGGATGCCCGCGCCCAAGTTCCGCCGGTGCCCTCCCCCAGCTTACCTCTCTCCTCACCCCCAAGCGCAAGACTCGGCTGGCTCCTGAGCGCCCCCCCAGGCCTCTCAAATTCAGCATGTGCACAAGCCAACCGCTGGCCCCTCCCACCGCTCTGCTTCCCAGCCCACATCCTCCTCTGCGTTCTCCTTCATGGCCAGAGGCCAGGAGGTGGCCAGGCATTGTGGAAACCGCTCAGGTTTTGGAATTAGATGGGCCCGAGTTTAAATCCTGGCTCTGCCACCAACCATAGTTATTCAACATCTCCGTGCTTCAGTTTCCTTATCAGAAAATGAGGATAGGGCTTCCCTGGTGGCGCAGTGGTTGAGAGTCTGCCTGCCGATGCAGGGGACACGGGTTCGTGCCCCGGTCCGGGAAGATCCCACACGCCGCGGAGCCGCTGGGCCCATGAGCCATGGCCGCTGAGCCTGCGCGTCCGGAGCCTGTGCTCCGCAAAGGGAGAGGCCGCAGCAGTGAGAGGCCCGCGTACCGCAAAAAACAAAAGAAAACCCCCAAAACAACACCAGCTTGTTATAGTTCTGGAGGGCAGAGTCTGAAATGGGTCTCTCTGGGCTAAAATCAAGGTGTTGTCAGGGTTGTATTCCTCCCGGAGGCTCTAGAGGAGAATCTATTTCCTTACCTTTTCCAGCTCCTAGAAGCTGCCCCTGTTCCTAGTGGCCTTGTCCTCTATCTTCAAAGCCAACAACGGCATCACTCCAACCTCTGCTTCTATCGTCATGTCTCCTTCTCTGACACTCTGACTTCCTCTTTCATGTGTAAGGACCTTTACATTTGCATTAGGCCCACCTGGATAATCCAGGTTGATCTGTCCATCTCAGGGTCAGCTGATGAGCAACATAATTCCATCTGCAGTCTTAATTTTCCCTTGGCAAGTAACAGAACAAAGTGGTGGTTTCCAGGGATTAGGACATGCACTTCTTTGTGGGCGGGGGTGGGGTGGGGGGGTGTCATTATTCTGCTGACTACATTCAGCATCTCTGCTGCTTCTCTGAGCTCGTTTCCCAACACTGTCTCCTCACTTCCTCCACTCCCCCCACATGGGCCTCTTTGCTTTCCAGGAAAAGATCAGACGTGCCAAGCAAGTTCCCACCCAGGGCCTTTGTACCCACTGTTCCCTTGGCCAAGAGTGCTTGCCTGAGGTGCCAAAGCGGCTCCTGCTGGCTTTTTACACAGGGATTGCCCTGACTTCTCTGTATAAAATAGCAATCCCACCCTCCTCCCTATGCCTGTGTTATTTTTCCTCGTAGCACTTGTAGATCTTGGATGGATTAACATGTTTATGGTCATATCCCTGCACCTCCCCACTAGAATGTGAGTCCCTGAGAGTGGAGACTTTGCCGAGTTCACTGCTGTCCCCCTGCACCTGACTCAATGTATAGCAAATAATAGGTGCTCAATAAAAATTTTCCAAATAAATAAATAAATAGAACACAAAGATTCATGCAAAGGCCTAAAGCTAAGTTACACATCTAAGCTTATAAATATAGATTAAAAACTTTAATTGATGAGTAAAAACAGAGCTGCAATCTACAGAAAACCTTAGACATAGTAATCAGGAGAAGGGTGAGTAGCACCATAAATCCACGGGAGGCTCTTTGCCAAGGACGTGTATTGGGCATCGTGCCCTTTTAGGGCAGGGAATGGCTTTCTGGGGCACTCCCACTGAGAGCTCCTTTGAAGTGACCTTGAAAGCTGTGGGATCAGAGGACCACAGAACCCACTTGTAGGAGCTGAGGTCTGGGAGGAATCCCATCAGGTTCTGGCATTTCTCTGACATACTTGGCAGCAATTAGCTCAAGTCAGGAAGGGCTGTGAAGGCCAAGAAGGGAGATTATTTTATTCACATACCTTGAACAGTTCCTGTCCCATGGACATGAAAATACTTACTTTGGGGCGACAACAGATTTTGTTATCGGTTGGGCATAATTTTGTTTTTTTGAAGCCGGAGGAGGAGGAGTTAGCCTGAGAGTGAAAAAGGAAATAACGAGAAAGAGAAAATTGGAAATTCAGAAACCAGGTTTAGCACTCCCCAGTAAGGTAGATCCCCACAGTGAAAACAAATTGGAATATATGGTCTGACAACAGGAATCTTTAAAATCAGGACGATTTTGGGGAACCTCAGGCTGAAGGCCTTGGCACTTGTTCACTGACCAGGGGTTCCCGGGCCAGCAGCACAGCTCATCCCCTGGTTCTAGGAGCTCTTTGTCCCCCATGGAGAGGCAGCTGCCATGGGCCCTTTCCCTGCTGCGCTAATTCTGGGACTTCCTCATTGAAAATGACACTCAGCCCCGGCATCACTGGCTAGAGCGCCGTGCAGCCTACAGGCTGTGGAAAGCTGGGCTTTCTGGCCCTCTTGGGATTTTGCTGCCAAGTTGACTGTTTCGGAAATCTTGTGAGAGAAAGCTGGCTCTAATGGAGCCCAAGCCCCCAGGCTCCACTCCATCCCAGGTAGTCCTTACTTGGACTTCACTGGGGAGGTCTTTCTTGGTGGCTGAGGGGTCTCGATTAGTTTCCGTGGTCCCAAGTTCCAGGGATCCCAGCAGGTGCAGTAGACGAGAGGGTTGGGGTACATGGCAGGTCAGGGGCCGCCTTGGCTGCTAGGTCAGGAGGCCCTTTGCTGAAATGGGAAAACGGCAGCAGAGTTCAGAGTCAGAGCAACAGCACTTAGAGACAAACTGGAAAGAACGCAGGGAAGGCCCAAAGCACAGATGACAGATTCTGGAAGTTGTCGATGTGGTACAGAGTCTTGACTATAGAATAACACCTCACCCCTTGCCACCTAGGAGACTTGACTTGAAAGCAGTTTCACATTTGATGTCATTGAGTGCTTACTATGAGTCAGATCCACAATGAGCGATCAGCTATTGTTACGCCAACTTTACAGATGAAGAGAGTGAGGCTCAGAGAGGTCACGGAGGTAGCAAGTTGAAAAGCTGGGAACAAACACAAGTCTATCTGACTCCTAAGCACTGGCTCTTCCATCAGGTCACACTAGCTGTCTCTAAAGCGAAGAGGAATCCCTACAGCAAGTCCTTCATAGACCTTTCTGGAAAATCAGGTCTGTTAGTCAAATTATAGTGCAAGCAGATCTTTCAGTCTCTCTTTCCTGGTCACCTGCCTGAATTACACAATCAAAACTCTTCTTTCTTGACTCCATAAAAACAAAAACAGAACCAAAAACAAAAACCCCTGTTACGAAGGTTTGCGTGAAAGACAACTGTCAGATAAGCATGGAGCCTTGATCACACTTGTTTATCTTCTTTCTTTTCCAGAACCCCACGAAAATGAGAGTAAAGATTAAAAGAGATTTAATTCCACAAAAACAAAGAGAATGAGAGAGGAGACAATATTGCACAGGCGATGTCAGTACATGCTTGGCACCATAACTCCCTCACTTAGCTTCCATAGGAACCTGCAGCCTATGTGCCTGCAAAGGGCGTACAAACCAGCAGGAACCAATTTCCGGGTGAAAGCTCCCTAAGACTCAGGATTGGAACTGGTAGATTATCTGATGATTCTGATGGGTATTTGACAGATCTGTTGGAGCACATGGTAGGTCAAATAATGTCCCCCCAGCAAAAAAGTCTATGTTCTAATCCCTGGAACCTGTAAATATGTTACCTTACGTGCCAAAAGGGGCTTTGCTGCTGTGATTAAGGATTTCCCCCATAACCATGCTTTTTTTCCCCTCTAGTGTATTTTTTATTGAAGTATAGTTGGCATATAATATTATATTAGTTTCCAGGATACAATATAGTGATTTGACATTTATATACATTACAAACTGATCATGATAAGTCTAGTAACCATGTCACCTTGTAAAGTTATTACAGTATTATTGACTATATTCCATAGGCTGTACATTACATCCCTATGACATTTATTTTATAACTGGAAACTTGTACCTCATGATCCTCTTCATCTATTTTCCTCAACTCTTTTTTTTTTTTTTTTTTGCGGTACGCGGGCCTCTCACTGTTGTGACCTCTCCCATTGCGGAGCACAGGCTCCGGACGCACAGGCTCAACGGCCATGGCTCACGGGCCCAGCGGCTCCGCGGCGTGTGGGATCTTCCCGGACCGGGGCACGAACCCGTGTCCCCTGCATCGGCAGGCGGACTCTCAACCACTGCGCCACCAGGGAGGCCCTATTTTGCTCAACTCTTTACCCCTCTCCCCTCTGGCAACCAGTTTGTTCTCTGTATCTATGAGTCTGTTTCTGTTTTGTTTTGTTTGTTCATTTGTTTTGTTGTTTATTTTTTATGTTTTAAAGTCATTATTAAAGTTTTTATTGAAAATAACTCACGCTCATACAGGTAAGGCCAATATAGTGTGTTATCAGAATAGAATAAATCAGAGTTGCTTGGCTGGTTAAGGAGTCACATGGAAAGACTGGCAGGAAGCTGAGTTTAAAAACAATGTAGATAACTAAAATATTTTAAAATGTTATATTAGAATTAGAAATGTTATAATAAAAATATACTAGAATATACTAGAATTTTTGCAAAAGTGAAAAAGGGTGTTTTGTTTTTTAGATTCCACATGGAAGTGAAATCATTCAGTGTTTGTCTTTCTCGGACTTATTTCACTTGGCATAATAGCCTCTAGGTCCATTCATGTTGTTGCAAATGACAAGATTTCATTCTTTTTTATGACTGAATAATATTCCATTGTGTATATATATGGCACATCTACATTCATTCATCTGTTGATGGGGTACTTAGGTTGCACAGCAAAGGAAACCAACAAGACGACAAGTTGACCTACTGAATGGGAGAAGATATTTGCAAATGATATGTCTGATAAGGAGTTAATATCCAAAGTATAAAAGAACACATACAACTCAGTAGCAAAAAACCCAAACAATTCGATTAAAAAATGGGTAAAGGACCTGAATAGACAATTTTCCAAGGAAGATATACAGGTGGCCAACAGACACATGAAAAAATGCTTAACATCACTAATCATCAGGGAAATGCTAATCAAAACCACAATGAGATATAGCCTCACAACTGTCAGAATGGCCACCATCAAAAAGACAACAAGTAGCAAGTGTTCACGAGGATGTGGAGAAAAGGGAATCCTTGTGCACTGTTGATGGGAATGTAAATTGGTGCAGCCCCTATGGAAAACAGTATGGAGGGTCCTCAAAAAGTTAAAAATAGAACTACCATACAATCTAGCAATTCCACTTCTGGGTATTTATATGGAGAAAACAAAAACACTAATTTGAAAAGATATATGCACCCCCCTATGTTCATTGCAGCATTATTCATAATAGCCAAGATACTGAAGTTAAGGATCTTGAGATGGGGAGATTATCTGGATTATCCGTGTGGGCCCAAGGTAATCATTAGTGTTCTTTTAACAGGAAGGTGGGAGGGTCAGAGTCAGAGAAGAAAATGGCCAAGTAGGAGTGATTGAGGTAGGGGCCATGAGCCAAGGAATGTGGGCAGCCTCTAGAAGTTGGAAAAGGCAAGGGAATGATTCTCCCCTGAACCTACAGAAGGAACGAAGTCTTGCCGACATCTTGATTTTAGCTCTGTGAGACCCATTTCAGATTTCTGACCTCAGAACTAAAAGATAAACTGGTGCTTTAAGCCACTAAATTTGTGGTAATTTGTTACAGAGCACTTGTAATAGGAAACAGAAAATTTGGGGAAAAGTTAAAAATAGAAACATAGACACCTAAGAAAATTAAAATTGCATAATTACTGCAGGCTAACAAATATTGCATAAGAAAGTAAATAAAATCATAGTAAGGAACACTCTCATATATATTAATGTAAACGCTTAATATTGATTTAACCAAAAAGTGATTTGTGACTGCACTGGAAGATTGGGGGTGGGTGTGGGATGGAGAATGTTGGCCCAACGACCAGGTGACAGGGCCACTATATCTAGCTGTCCATGTTCCCCTTTGCTGGGGGCCTGGTCAGGAGGTCTCAGGGAGACAAGGGAAGGAGGTGGGTGGAGCAAACCAGGTGAGAAGATGGTGCCACAGGGGGCTAGAATTCAGGTAAGAATCTGAGAGGAGCCTGCAGCAGTAGTAAGACAGAAGCTCTGCTTCTGTTTAGGACCTTGTATCTGCTTCCTGTGAGAATGGGGCCGATCCTGAACTTGGGGGTTTAGAGGAGTCCCTGGGGCAAGAAGTGAGAGGCTGGGGCAGGCCAACTCCCAGCAAGTGCCTTCCCTATTCCATTTCTTGTCGGCCCATCTGGACTGAGCAGTTCTTAAAGGCCTGGATCCACCATGTCATTCTCTGTGCCCCCAGGGAGCCTGGCAAAGCAACTTGTCCACGACAGGTATTTGATAAATATTTGTTACCTGACTAATAAACTGGGTGGCTCTAATCACAGGGAGCAGTCAACAAGGAGAAAGGAGCTCCACAAGTGAAACTGTAAAAATGTACAGAAGTAAATTATGGTACAACCACTCAGTGGAGTTTATATAGATTTTTTTTTTTTTTTGCTGCACCACGTGGCGTACTGGATGTTAGTTCTCAGACCAGGGATTGAACCCATGCCCCCTCCAGTGGAATCAGAGAGACTTAGCGTTGGACTGCTAGGGAAGCCCTATATAGATTTTAACTGACCACTTTAAAGCCTGTGGAAACATGAAGAAATGAGTATGAACCAAGATATAAAATAGTGTGCATGCAATGAATACAATTATGTAAAAGTTTGTACCAATATGGACAAGGGTTAGAAAAGAATATATTTAAAAATGAAAATTGGGCCAGAATGTCAGAATTATAGTTTTTCTTCCCCCCTCCACAACATTCTTTACTAAAATTTTCTTTGGGTTTTGGAATCAGATGGGTCTGATTTGCATGGAAGCTTCTCCACTTATCACCTGTGGGACCTCAAAAAATGTACTTTCACATTTCTGAGTCTCAGTTTCCTCATCTGCAAAATGGGGACAAAAATTCATGCCTTCCCATTGTGCTGTTGTGCACATGAAACGGGACCATGTCAGGAAAGCTCTTGGCACACTGCCTTGCATACATTACATTCTCAAAAACTGGTAACTGAGTTTAGGAATATTATGAACCCCAGTGGCATTTTGTTTACAGAAACTTTTATTTCTAAATTTGTGGGAGAATAGGTTTATTTTTGTGTTTCTGTTAAATTGAAATATGCTTATTGTAAAGAAAATCATAACACAGAAGAGTCTAAGGAAGCAAAAATTCTCCAAAATACTAACATCTAGAGATGACCACTGAAAATATTTTGATTAATATCTTCTAGAATTCTCTCTAAAGAAACAGATTTATATAATTTTCCATAAATGAGAACAAACTCTACTTACATTCTAGATGTGCCTTTTTAAAACAATGTCATGAGCTTCTTTAATGTCAGTAACTATATATAATATATATATAGTATATATATAGTATTATATATATAGTATATATATTATATATAGTATAATCATATAATCTTTTTTTTTTTTGCGGTACACGGGCCTCTCACTGTTGTGGCCTCTCCTGTTGCGGAGCACAGGCTCTGGACGTGCAGACCCACCGGCCATGGCTCACGGGCCCAGCCGCTCCACGGCATGTGGGATCCTC